TTTTTTTTTTTTTTAATTATAAATTGATAATGAGAATGAGATCAGAGGAGGGGAGGAATGGAATATACCACAAAAAAAATGTTGAGATACAAAATGCCAGCAATGGAATTTATTTTACAAATATAGCACAAAAGAAACACATTCCTGAGGAGCAATTGTCTTGCATGGACGTTCTTGAGATTCTCTTTGGGGAGACTAAAGAAAGAATCATTCACAAAATCCATTTAGATTTCATGGTAAATGACAAACAAAAAAATAATAAATTTGAAAGTGAAGAAGATAAAAGCTACTGCCACCACATGCAATGCATTAGACTAACTTGCAGGCTTGGCACACAAAGAATGTAACTAACAAGTATTTTATTTTGATTTTTTTTTTTTTTTTAATGTTATGACAGGAACAATGTCTGTTCTGTCTAAATTTATGACAAGTAACAAAAATGCAGATGTAAGATTTATATTTTTATATATATAAGGTGTGCATGTTAATTGCAGCTAAGTCCACTCATCTCTTGCCCTTCTGGACCACTTAAAAATTAGCCATTACCCATGCACAATTTACTTCTTTCCATCCTAATAAAGAAAGGCAGTAGCATCATGTTTCCATTACTAAATTTTTATCTTACCAGATTAAATTTACCTATTTTATCCACTTGCATGTTGGAATCATAGAATTTGTGAGAAATTATTTGCTTGTATCTCATTAAAAATAGAAACTTAATTTATCAACTACATTAGAGGAAGGCTTCAATGACTAGTTAAAGATAGTTTTTTATTTCTTTTATTATTTTTATTTTAGAAACAATACATGAGCGATAATTTTCTTTCAACTCTTAACCTATAGTAGTTATATACAATGCGTTTCGAATGTTAAATCTCTTATTTTCATGAGAAAAAATTATTACTGAATTAATTAAATTATTAATATTAGTTAAAAATGTTTGATTTGAATTTATTAAATAATTCAATCGAAATTCAAAAATAAACCCTCTTGGACTTCCCAAATAAATGGATTTCAAAGCAACGAAAAGCCTGCATAATCATTTTTTCCAACAAAAAAGGGTTGGGGAACCTTATAATTTGAGGGTGAAAATTTGAGGTTAGATCACATGTTGGAAATTAAGGGTAAATAATCGTGACTTATGAGTAGTACTTACAGTGGAAGCCTTTTTCATGTGAATTCGTGATGCTCAAAGGTCAAGATTTCACTCAATTCTTTGCATAATTTTTTTTTTTAACAATTTCAGAAAGAGTTGAATTCGAACCGTTATCTTAAAAAAGAGAAATGCACTTATGCTTGATGTTATTGGACCGAATTCCAAGTGCCAATTCTTTGCATAATGTCAAACCATAAAAAAAAAAAAGGAATTTCCTAAGGAATATTCAACTTGAATTTTATTTGTCTGTTCGGCATCTTCTGAACTGAACCAATTAATTGTGTTAATCAATTTGATTTATTAGCATATGTGTGATGGTTGTTGACTCACTTCTGATCCATGTCTAACTGAAGTTCAAAAGTCCTTCTATTTTTCAGTTACATTGTAACATGTAAAAGATTCTCCCTTTTAGTGATTTCCATCATAATTTCTCCTGTTTATGTGAAATTTATTTATATTTCTAAGGAGGAAAAACCCAAGAAAAGTTTTGAGAAATTGCTTCCTACGCAATTGTTAAGTTACTATCATATCAGCATGTTCTTCAACAAAATAAATGATGTTTGGAATTCTAGAAACCATAACATTTGACCAACCCTACACTAATTACTCATTAATCTACCCCTTCACCATCAAAATAATTAACCCTTTGCTAATACGTTTGACCAAGCAAAATTCCAATTACTGGGTGGGGAGTGAGAAACACTGAAGCAAATGGGAGTTACACACATCTGTTAACATTCTTTGGTTTGGTGTTTTAGCTAGAACACTAAACAAGAAGCCCACAGGAGTTACATCTGTTAACATTCTTGGTTAAGGTTTAGGATAAAAAGGGGATAGATTTACTGATAATTAGTCATCTTCAAAGCAAACGAGGGAAGTCCCAAGAGGACCTTACAAATTTCCAGACTTGTGTTTTACTACATTGTATAGGATTAACATATAATGTGCAATGTGTTTGAAGGCATCTAAACTCATCACCTACCACTGATAACTCCATTCCTTCTTCTCTTATTATTCCCCACCGCCCTCCACTCAACAATATTCATCACCATTTTCCATGTCCATCTACTCTCAGGCCTTTTCTGGTCATTTCTGGCTTTCACTTTGGCTTTACAAGGAGGGTTTCGTTTCTGGTGCCAGAAAGCTCCATTCCAGCTTAGATTCAACATCACATTTTACCTCCAAAACCAAAGGGAAAGCCCAAAAGAAAATCACGTCATTTTGGTTATATAGCTAGTCTTTTTAAGAAGTGGGATCATTTGGTATGGTAATATTATTGCCAATCTTTGTTCGTGACATGGGTTTCTTGGATTTATTGTCTGGTATGAGATCTGGGGATTTGAGTTTGATTTTCTCCGAATGAGGAGTGATTATGGTGAAGCGCGTTCAAAAGATCTGGACTTTCAAGTTTGCTTTTGTGGATTCCATTAGGGGAAGGTAAGAATATTAGCTGCTCCTAGAAAACACATGATGCCTGCTTTCTGTCTATATTTTCCGGTTCCTATTTCTGACTGCGTGCATGTAAGCAGCCCCATTTTCCATTTTTGTTGCCACTTGCTAGATGGTTTTATTGCTATTGACAAGTTGGTCCTCTGTTTCCGGGGCCTCTATTTATCTGGATATGAAATTCTTAGCTTCAAATATGAGTTCCCTAACCATAAGTTCTACTATTTTGTTTATTTGGTCTGTGTAGCTGAGTCATTTAGTGGTATGGTGAATAGGGATTGAGAAATAATTGGAAGGAAGTTTCAATATGAGATATGAATCATGGAGCAATATTTGACAGGCATGTGATAGTTAAATTTTGTTTTCTGTCTGTCTTGTGTCAATTATGTAGGTTCTGAAAATCTGAGAGGCAGTAGGGGAATACAGACATGGCAACTGATCTTAATACAGAATTATCCAAGAAAACTGCTGTTTTTGGACTTAGGGTCTGGGAAGTAATTGGGATTGTTGTAGCTTTATTTATCATAATCATCCTTTCAATGTTGTCATTTTGTTTGACTTCCCGGAAGAAATCAAGACCCTGGAATAAGATTCCAATTAGTCAAATCCCAACTGTTTCAAAGGAGATCAAGGAAGTAAGAGTGGAACAAGTATCAACCACTGATTTTGTTCCTCATGATGGGATTCTCACCATTCATGACAAATCCAGTGATAAAGACTCAGGTAAGGTTATGGTCCATCCAGGAATGGGCAACCAGTCAGACTCCTTTCACCACTTAGAGACAGATGGTGCTGAATCTCAGTCAGGTGAAGAAGGGAGTTCAGGGACAGTAACTGTTTACAAACCTTCTTCTTCATATCCTATCACTGCACCTTCTCCTCTTATTGGCCTGCCTGAATTTTCTCACTTGGGTTGGGGACATTGGTTTACATTGAGGGATCTGGAAGTTGCCACAAATCGTTTTTCAAAGGAGAATGTCCTTGGTGAAGGTGGGTATGGTGTTGTTTATCAGGGACGGTTGATCAATGGGACGCCAGTGGCAGTTAAAAAGATCCTCAATAACTTGTGAGTAAATTTTTGAATTTCCTGGCCCTAGTGTTATTATTTGCATGTTCTTGCTTTTCTTAACCTTTTCTTCCTCCTTTTAGGGGCCAAGCAGAAAAGGAATTTAGAGTGGAGGTAGAAGCCATTGGCCATGTACGCCACAAAAATTTGGTTCGCCTTCTGGGATACTGTATTGAAGGAACACACAGGTTTAGTTTTTGCTTAGTAAGTCTTAAATTGGTTAATCAGATAATTAGCAAGTCTAAATGCTAACCAAATTATGGACAAATTGTTGAAAGAGTCATGTTGTGCTTGAATATTTTGGAGGTAGCTTACTTAATTGTTAACTATATACCAATGATGTTATTATCTATTAACAGAGTTTGTAGTCATGTTTATATTTAAAATTTCAGGATCTTGGTTTATGAGTATGTCAACAATGGAAATTTAGAACAATGGCTTCATGGAGCTATGCGTCAGCAAGGATATCTTACTTGGGATGCTCGCATGAAGGTCCTTCTTGGCACAGCTAAGGCGTAAGTCCATTTTTAACGCACAACCAGTACTCTGGTTCTCTTACAAAAGTTTAACTTGATATACTTTTTGCAGTCTAGCCTACCTGCATGAGGCCATTGAACCCAAAGTGGTGCACCGAGACATTAAGTCAAGCAATATATTGATTGATGATGAGTTCAATGCCAAGGTCTCAGATTTCGGTCTTGCCAAGTTGCTGGGTGCTGGGAAAAGTCATGTCACAACTCGAGTCATGGGAACATTTGGGCAAGTATTTTCTCTTATGCATGTTTGCATGTGCTTATAAGTTATAAGCTAGTTCTTCCTTCATCCTCTCTCTGCAATTTTTTTTTTGTTTCTCGTGCTATGTGTGCAAAGGTTTAATCACCTCTTATTCACTTATCCCTTTCTAAAAATAACACAGATATGTGGCCCCTGAGTATGCAAATACTGGCCTTCTGAATGAAAAAAGTGATGTTTATAGCTATGGGGTTCTACTGCTGGAAGCAATCACTGGAAGAGATCCTGTAGATTATGGTCGTCCTGCCCCTGAGGTAAGCATAAGCACTGACACAATCTTTGTGAAGAAAAGGCATTATACTGCTTTAGTTGTGGAAGTCTGGAAAGTTATTAGTTACCATTTGGTAATTTGAATCTCCTTACAATCTAGTAGGCAGGAGTGCTGAATCTGGCATCAATGCTTGCATTTTGGGATGGATTTGCACATGTTTGCAAATTTTAGTCTCCATGCTAAAGAATTGAGTTAGCATAATGTGAATATCGTTTTGAGCACTCAAGGCTTCCCACTAATGCAGTTACACTTAATCAGTACCTTTCTGTAGAGCTTTCGGCTCTGCCTTTAATTTCTTTTATTATAGTTCTAATGTCATGTCCTGTCCCTTATTTTTTGGTGCATTAAAGAGAAAAATTGATGGTTAGGACTTGAGGTCCCAGTGTACCATACTATAATAAAGACCTAGTTTCCACTCTCATGGTTCTGATGGCTCAGTTTGAACCTAAACATTTTCTATTATTTTTCTGGCCAAATACGGAAATCAAAAAACCTCTTATTTCTGTCTGTTAACTTTATTAGGCTGGAGCTGGATGATGGCTGCACATCTAAAAGAAATTAATTTCTCTCTTTTAAAGTACCAGTTTCTCATATTTAACATGGAACATTTATGTCTATAGGTAAATCTGGTAGACTGGCTAAAAATGATGGTTGGCAGCAGGAGGTCTGAGGAAGTGGTAGATCCAAATATTGAGGTCAAGCCATCAACAAGAGCCCTAAAGCGCGCCCTATTGACTGCACTTAGGTGTGTTGATCCTGATTCTGGTAAAAGACCCAAGATGAGCCAAGTTGTGCGCATGCTTGAGTCTGAGGAATATCCCATACCAAGAGAGGTTAGCATCAAAACTCATGTCTTTAGCACGAACACTTATTTGAACTTGAACTTAATGGAATATCTAGCACATGCCTAATGACACCTGTGTCTTGATGGTCTGATGTCCATAAGCTATGCATTGCATTTGCAAGGAAATGAGTGCAAAGAGATCGCTTTTAACTGATTTTTCGGTATACAGGATAGAAGGCACCATAGAAGTCGTGGAGGGAGCTTGGAGATTGATTCTCAAAGGGATAATTCTGACACTGACCGAAGTGATTATCCAGGTTCAAGATCAGAAAGCAAGCGGACACAATTATAAGCAACGATTTATTTTGAAGTTGTGAGAGATTCATAAGCTGGCACAGGTGTGGGAAGGAATTCTTAAAATTTAATTTTCAATGGCGTTTAGATTCTTGGGGTTTGTCTCCATATATGGTAGTGGTTGGTTGTTGTTATGTAGGGGGTGTGGGTTGGGGGAAAGGCTGGATGAGGTGAGAGGTGACATGTTTATTCTTTTCCTTGTTTCTTTTTAATATAATTTGTAGATGAAGAGATGATCTGTTTGTGTACAGAATTGGGTAGCTCTGGAAACTTGTGCGAAGAAGTGCTTGATACTTGGTAGGGCAATATGTATAACAAGGAAAAACTGTTGTGCAGTCTTGGGTTACCCAACAAAAATCGTTTAATGGGAGCATACCTCCTAATATTGGGGTTCTCTCCCCATCTAGCAGTCATTATGTTACAATTTGGTATAGTACAGATTGCAAAATAGGATCTATAATGCTTATGGAACAAAATCAAAACAAAACATCATGCTTACCTTGATTAATCGCCTCTTCTAACTTCTAATCTAATGGGCCAATAAGAACTATCAATCAAGTCTCAGGTGAGATTGGAAGAAGGAAATGTTTGTTTTCTTTGGGTTATGATCAGTAGCTGTTTTGATATACTTTTCACAGTTGGTATCATCGTGTTGTACAAAGGTCATTATCAATATGGAAGGAGACAATGGCATTGGAGCATTAGACACGACAATACTTTGAAGGATCAAACAAGGAGTGTTTTAGAGTGCGGTTGGAATTGTTATGAGGCATAGTTTTGAAAACTGAATTGAATCGGTTGGCCGAATCGATTGAACCAATACTAGTAATCTAAACAGTTTAGGTACACCTTTCAAATTGGTAAACTGTTCTACCATACGGTTCAATACTTAGGTATAAAATCTTGAGAATTTGTCTCCAATGGGGTTTGAACTTGCAACCTTGAAGCAAGTATTTCAATTCTTTACCACCAAAACAATGCAATCCTTGAGCTAATGATTGCTTGGATTTTTATTTAACTCATACAAATGTCAAAGATTTTAACTAAATTACTGATAACAACGACGAGATTCGAACACCCATTCTCCCTAGTATGGAACAAAGATTTTTCCACTTGATAAACAACATTCCATTTGCAGTTTTATACTTTAGAATATATTTATTTTACTTTTCAAAGCATAATTAAAGTTTGTTATAAAGGGGATTCCAATTTAGGATCTCTCTTATGGTAAATCAACTACTACCAGTGCAACCAACTGATATCGTGTGAAATATTTTGCAGAGCAACATATTCATAATATTTTGATCAATCCGGTGGTTTTTTTAGTCAAACCGATTAAACTGCTCAAACTGCGAAAGTCAAAATGGTTTGACTTTCGGTTCAAGTTTAAAAACATTGCTATGAGGTATTGTAGTTGTATTTATAATTGTGGTTGTATTGTACTTAAATTATAATTAAAAATTATTTTA